GGACTTGAGTCCTGGAAATGGGAAGTACAATGCCTGCACTTTAAAGGAGGGGTTCGGGATATTGGGAGTTTGGAGGGATATGTTGTGTATCTTTATATGTGTATGCTTCTAAACTGTTGTATTCTGAGCACCTCTGCAAAAACAGTGATAATGTGTGAGTGTGGTGAAAGTGTTGAATGATGATGAAAGTATTTTCTTTTTGGGATTTTCTTTCTTTTTGGGTCACCCTGCCTCTGTGGGAGACGGCCGACTTGTTAAGTATGTATATATATATATATATATATATATATATATATATATATATATATATATATATATATATATATTATATATATATATATATATATATATAATATATATATATATATATATATATATATATATATATATATATATATATATATATATATATATATATTATATAATTTGGAATACCATGAAACATTATTGCTTGTGCTGCAGTAAAACTGAAATCAGATATTTTATTTTAAGCTCACTTTTGTCTCTCATCAGTTTCTCATTGTTCGTGAGGATCAGATCGATTTCAAGGGGGATACAGAGATGGCAGCATAATGACCAAAATTGATTGTCAAATATTTTATTAATTAAATAAATACCAGCAAAAGCACTTTTCTAAAAATTGCTTTCTAGTAAGTGAACTAAAGATATAATCCAATGTACTCCTGTTAAAAACCCCTTTGAGGCCTAGTTTCTAGGTCTAATGTGTATCCACATCTCTTGCCCCGTCCACAGGATGGATGTGAGGTCACAAAAACTAGCCCTTTCGGGGGCAAAATCAAAAATTAATCTTTATTTTTTCCCAGTGAAAACTTAAGGTGTCAGGAGTTACGGGTTTTTGGTTTTGTTGCTCTAACACCTTTTTGTACTACACACACACCCCACACCTTTCCTTTACCGTATACATGACGCGCAGACCTTTCTTTATTGCTTGACTGTTTCCATTACCCCATACACCCGCACCACACAACTTACCCCCACTGCACCCACACCCGTATTACATACGAACGCCTAAAGGGACCCTCCAAAGGTGCCCACAGAAGGTATACTTTCCTGCACCATTTCCTGCACCATACCCGCGCCCCAATCTGCAGACACACCTGCTCCAAAACACCTACCAGTTCCCCCAGTTGGGGCCAAAAAAATTTCCCGCTGTGAGGCACGAGAAATCCCCTTTTTTTACTTCTTCCCCATTTGGAACTGTGAAACCAGCCGGGGCACACCCGGTGTACAGCCGGGGTATAACAGTACGTAAACCGGGGCACAGGGGTGTACAGCCGGTGTAAACTAGTACGTAACCTGCACGGCGGTTAAAAATGATGCACAATAGTGACGGGGGGACAGAGTATACCTTTTACGAATTCCAGGTTTTTTTTTAATCGCAGAGCCCGGCCCTGGGCCGGGTCGTGAACGTGTGAGGAGAGTTGAAGGTTGCAGGAGGGATGTGTGTTGTGTGGGGGGGTATGCTATCCCAAACCACCACCATCACTACCCCCAACCTCATCCTACCACCCTAACCTCAAAATCACCACACTCAATCCTACCCCATAGTAATCTAATATCCCCCAACCAAAAATAACAACAACCTCAATCACCACACTACCAACCCAATCACCCCACCATCATACCCCCAAAAACAAAAAACCCTTAATCACAATCACCACCCAAACTCAATCACCACCCCCAACCCCAATCACCCCCACCCCCATCACCCACCCCATCCCACTGCCATACCACCACCAACCCACCACCACCCCCACCACCACCACCACCCCCACCCCACCACACCACCACCACCCCCAACCCACCATCAACCACCACCACCACCATCGTCCTAGCTATACACTGACCCAGTGCCCATACCAAAACCTGAATAACTCCTCACACACCCCCACCCACCACCACCACCCCCCCCACCACCACCCCCCCACACCACCCCACCCTCCCCCACCCCAACACCACCCCACCACCACCACCCCTCCCCCCCCCACCAACCCCCCCACCACCCACCAACCCACCACCCCACCACCACCACCCCACCCCCCACCAACCCACCCACCACCCCCCCACCACCACCCCACCACCACACCACCCCCCAACCCCCCCACCACCACCACCACCACACCCCAAACCACCACCCACAAACCCCCCACCACCACCAACCCCCCACCACCCCCACCACCCCCCACCCCCACCACCAACCCCACCCCCACCATCACCACCCCCCACCACCCCCCACCACCACCACCAACCACCACCCCCACCACCACCACCACCACCACCAAACCCCCACCAGTCCTTCAGCTATAACTGACCCCGTGCCCATAACCAATGAGTACACTCCCAAACACCACACCCCCCCACAACCACCACCACCACACAACACCAACACCACCCCCCACCCCCACCACCACCCCAAACCCCCCCACACAACCACCATACCCCCCAAACCCCACACCACCACCCCACCCCACCCACCCCA